ACAGGAAGCCCGAGGCAGAGTTGCTCTGCCCCAGGCTTCCTGGAATCAGCCGCTGATCAGTTTCAGCAGCAGCTGACTTGGGGACGCCTGGGTTTCTTAAATTGAATCTGTATGCAAGTCAGAACTGGCATCCAGATTCAGCCCCGGTTGAAACTGATCAGTTTCAGCAGCGGCTGACGCCCGGTTCCACTTACATACAGATTCAACTTAAGAACAAACCCACAGTCCCTATCTTGTACGTAACCCGGGGACTGCCTGTATTCAAACATAAGCTAGACAACTGTATTCAGCAAAGCATTTAGGCACACTATTAAATACACTGATGAACAGCACATAGCAGAGGAAGGATGATCCTGTGGCTAGGATGCTAACCTGGAACTCAAGAGGCTCATGTTTAATTTTCTGTTATGCCACAAGCAACCTGTGTTACTTTGGCCAACGTTTAGCAGTACTGTATAGAAACTATTTCTCACCTGTAAAATAAGAATAATGTTACCTTTCCACTTCACAGGGGTTCTGTGAGGGATAAATACATTATGAGGTGCTCAGAGACTATAGTAATGGGGGGTGGGACCCATAAATACCTCAGATAAAAGGAATACGAATGGACTGTAGAATTTGAAGCCTACATCTACAGTAATCAGTCCGGGTGTAATTCTCCTGCCCATGTACATACACTTACACTACCTCTCATCAATCTATTGCAAGGATATCATCCGCAGAGGCATGGCTGAACCATGCCATGCATATAACCAACAATTTCAGGTAACAGCTGAGTGCTTAACTTTAATACCTTAACTAGAACACTTACCTGGCATTGCTCAGCTCCTTCAGGGCTGGCAGTGTGGTGGGCGCAGGAGTCAGGGCAGAGGGTGAGGGACTCAGGGCAGGAGGGCTACAGGATTCAGGGTGGGGGGCTCAGGTCAGGAGGCTGCGAGGTTTGGGGGGGCTCACCAGGGATGCCTGCAGTGGTAAGGACAGCACTGCAGCTGCTGCCCTCCCCAGCTCCTTGGAGGGGAGTGGGGCTGTGGTGCTTGGCGCTGACTGCTAGTTCTAGGCCCTTGGGGGGGAGGGGGGAGGAGGAGGAGGTGGTGATTGCCCTGGTTGGCCATGGGTGGTGTGTGTGGGGAGGTGGAGCTGTCCAGCTTAGCCCCAGCCAGCCTTCAGAAGGTATGGGGCGTGGGGATGCACAGCCTCAACAGCAGGGGGCGGGGCGGGGAGCACCAGGGCTGTGTGGGCCAGCTCCAACAGTTCCTGGGAGGGAGGGGAGACCATGGCTGCATTGGTCAGCCCCAGCAATTTTCCTGTGGAGAGGGGGTCATGGTGACAGGATGCCCTCTAGCCCAGTGCTGGAGCTGAGGGAGATGGAGTTTGGTGGTGGTGAGGGACCACTTACCTGTGGTCATGACCAGCATTATGGAGAGCTTTGACCCCAGCTGGCCACTCTCTTCCTAGTTCAGCCACCCCCTTGTGGGTGGCTCTGTAGTATAAGTGTCCCCTGTGCTCGCTGCCCCCAGTGGTCATTGCAGAGCATAGCTGTCCCTGCTCTCAGCCCCCTCCCTTTCTGTATTATGGAAAACAGTTGGATTCCAGGCACATCCTGTTTTCCTGGCACAACCAAGCCCTGATCCTGTTTTAAGTTAGGTTAAGAAGCTGCATACTAAATTTGGTGGTAACAAATGTACAGACAGACACACACAGACAGATGCATAGTTCTCTTAGTGTAATTTTTATACGTGATTATTTACACAGTGCCATCAATGTACATGATACTATTTTTTTCTTAAGTAATATCTAGGAAGTGTTTATGTACTGTGTCTTCTGAGCAGAAACACTGACAAACAACTGAATTTTTGAGGACCAGAAGTAATTGTTAGTGTACAACTATATTACTTGTATTAATTACAACTTATATTATATTTCCTCTCATGAGCTCAAATTTTTTGTTGATACTTGCTAATTTAGCTTAATACTCTTGAGAGATGGGATGGTATCATTACATCCATTTTAGAGATGGAAAAACTGAGCTTCAGAGCTGTAATGACTCTTTCAAGACAATTAAGCGGGATATTGTCAGAATCATAAATAGTACTCATGAGCCTGCTACCCAGTCTCCTGCTATAGCTACTAGACAACACTGTTTTACCAGATATGATAGTGGCACTCCATAGTTCAGGATCTGAATACCAATCTTATTAGCCTATATGTGTGTCAGAAAGTCTTATATGAAATACTTTCCTGCTTTTTAAATCAACTGCAACTTAGCCTAACTCAGGTAACATCAGACTGAAGAGTGATCCCTGATGATGTTGTTGGGGGAGGGGCACCAATTGGTTATAATCAACAATCACTGTCTGTATTGGAAGTACTTGTAACCAATTTATTAACTTTTTACCCTGTTAATGATCCTCACACTAATCTGTGCCTATGCTTTGTGCTATTTCTGAAGGATTATGACATTACTTTTATTTCAGAGAAGTTGAATACCAAGGAAATAAGACTTGCTTATTATGTATATGAACATGTAGAACCTGTGAGTTTGGGAGCTAACCTGAGTGTATTAAGGCAAATGGTAAAGCATCCTGAATTGATGAGGCATATTCAGGAGCTTATAAAACAGGAACATAGTACAATGATAATGGTGAATAATTCCACCACTCAAATTGAGAAAATCATGAAGAGAGTGCTTCAGTCCTCTAAATTGGCCCATTGGTGGGAATCTTTGTCAGCCCAACAGAGATGACTAACGTTTGTCACATCTTATTGCGCCCAAACTCCCTCCCAGAGCCTGCACCTCAACTCCCCGCCCCAGGCTCAGCCCACTCTCCAAATCCTTTAGCTCAAGCTCAGCATCTGCATTTCCCCCCCACACTCCAACCCTCTGCCCCCAACCTCATAAAAGTGAGTGAGGATTGGGGAAGGGAGGGAGGATGGAGTGAGCAGCGGCAGGGCCTTGGAGGAGAGGTGGGAAAGAGGTGGGGCAAGGTTCTTTGGGTTTGAAGTAGATCCTGGATTGCACTTAAATTCAAAAAGTGATCTCATGCTTTAAAAGGCAGGGGAACTCAGGGCTAGGGCAGGAGTTTGGGATGCAGGAGGGGTTCAAGACTGGAGCAGAGGTTCAGAATATGGGCTACAGCTGGGCACCACTTACCACAGATGGCTTCTGGGTGCTGGTGCAGAGGGCTAAGGCAGGCTCACCCCTACCCTGTTACTACACCACTCCTAAAAGCGGCCAGCAAACACTCTATGCCTTTTCCCATCTGCTCTGTGGAGATGGGGTACAGGGTGAAGGATGGGCACTCTGACATTAAGCACCCCCCTCCTCTTCTTCCAGTGTCCTGCATATCAAGCAGGAAGCTGTCGTGGGTGGGAGGGTACCTCCAACATAGAGGGCAGGAGCAGTTCAGCAGTGCTGAGGGGGCAGATGAAGTACTGGCACTGGACAGCCTCCTGGCCAAACCTGTCAGGATCACCTATCAAAGGTTCCAAGATCTACCGTAAATCCTGATCTACTGGTTGGTGACCACTGTCTTAATTTTCAATCTGTAGTTGTTATAGCCATGACTGCAATAATTTGATGGATGCAGGTGAAAATTAGGAGTGCAGTTAATTTTAGTAGATATGCGCCGTCCCTTGTGTAATTGTTAATGGGCAATAATGGTACCAAGGTACCAGGTTGCAAAGGAGGGAAGATGTTGAGGGGAGGGGTGCTATTTATGTCCACATTTTGATTTTTCCCTTAAAGATGGTGATCAGCCTCCCTGCCACCATCCCCTGACTGAAAAGGGCAGGAAAAAGGCAGGAAAAGTGGGATTGCCTGACCTAATCTTCCTGACAACACAAGGGATTATAAAGGGTATTCACCTGCCCCTAAGGGCTCTCGGCATGCACTTGCTTTCTGCGCAAAGCTGTGGTGCTAGAATGACAGCCTATCTGTAGGCCCACTCAGGCAGCTGGGGCAGGGTGTTTGGCTTGATAGACTGTCAGAGGCAGGAGTCTGGTTGCTGCCACCATGAAGGCTACAAATCTCCCACCAGAGAGTGCATCTGGAACAGTTTTCTGTGGTGGGGCAACCCTGCATCCCACACTGGTGGCGGTTGCTGGGCAGAGCATATTTATTTAAGGTTAAGGAGACTGCAGTAAGGCCAGGCAACTGGATCAATCTCTCTCGTCCACATACAGGACGAGTCAAGAGAAGGAGAAAGAAGACAAAAAGAGAGAAGACCCTCTGCCTGCCTAATCCTTTGCATCCCTTTCTCATCCTGTACATCTACTCACCTTCATCACCGAACATCATGATGACTGTATGATCCCCTATTATTTGTAGTGACCCCAGTTCTGATTATTTGCATTGTAGGTTCTGGCTTCCTGCCATTGCTTTACTATGACACTTGAATTTTATGTTTGTTCTTTAAGTTCAGTGTTGTGTTAATAAAATAGTAGTTGTTTCAGCCATTTTGTGTTGCATGTGACTAATACCCAGTGACACAGATGTGACAAGGGTGGAGAGACAGTGCTCACACAGACAAGATTAAGTCTTTGTCTAACAATGTGGCAAATAGGACAAATGTATTGGCATCTAGGAGACCTCAAAGAAATATGGATCAAGATTGCTGGTCGTGCTATTGGAATAGTCCCGCTCACATGTACATGTAGTGTGACCAATCACAAATGTAAGAGTGGCAACAGTAGGACATTAAGCTCTTGGGATGCGTGAAAGATGAAGCTAGGACACGTGGCTGGAGACAAAAGTAATTGAGTAAGGAAAATTGGCAGATTATGGGGTTTTCACCAAATCTAAACATGGAACCTGAATTCTACACGTGAAGGTTCAACCACGTTATGTTCTCTTATACAGCAAGTGGAAATACCATTTTTAAATGTATCTGAATTATCTTGGGTGCATGCTTTACTGTACACCTCTTATGTTATATCTCTTGCCACTATTAGTTGTAAATACAACTTGGACCTTTCTGGTCTGGCACCCTTGGGCTCAGAGGGAGTTTGCCAGACCAGAGGCCCCTCTGCTGATGGACTCCAGGTTCTCCCAGGGTCTGTCAGCAGATCTCCAGGTTACCCTGCCCCTGGGACTCCATGGCCAGCTGCTCCCTGCCAGGGATCTCTGGTGCAGCAACATCTTTGGCTGATGTTGCTGGACCAGAGAATCTCACAGCAGAGAGGTTCAACCTGTACCATCAATGAAGCAAAGAGAGGAACTGAAAAAAAAAATCAAAGATGAGAATGTTCTTGAAACAACCTAGTATGTAATTGTCTTGCTCAGCTCCCTTTAACAAATGGCTTAAAGCAGAAGAATAGAGTATACAAGTTAGCCAAACTTATTGAATTGAACTAAATTAAACTTTTTTCATACTTGAATTTACAATATTTAGCACAATATATGAAAGATTAATCTAGAGAAGACTCTGCATGAATATGCCTAACTTTATTAAAGACTCTTAAACAAGCTACTAATTCCTTACTATGCACATGTGAATTAGTAAACGGAATTGTAATTTCTTCTATCGTGGAAAGGCAATGTCTGGCTCTATTTGATTACTGTGAAGTTCAACAATATGGTGACTCAGATAAGACAGTGGATATAAAATATATAATTTATCTTTAAATTAAATCAATGGTCCTTTGCGTAAAGTGGAATAGTCATCATGTATATTTTAATCCTCTTACACAGAATGCTGTCAATGAGTTAATTGGAGACTAGTGTTCCCTCTAACATTTTCTATCCTTGGGCAGGTTGAATTTTCTTTTGAATGGGTTGAAATTTTGTATGTGCACCACCAATATTGAGGTAGTGTGTGTGTGGATATGTATCACTAATACAACAAACAAAACACACACACAATTTTAAGCAGTCCATATGTGTGGAAGAAAATATATTAAAACAAAGGATATTTAACAAGGAGCAATGCTTACAATATTTAATACGAAATCAAATAAAGAAAATTAACACTGTCTTTGGAGTACATGTATCAACCTATCTAATAGCTCAAGCTAGTACTTGCTACTTCTGACTTTTAAGAGCCAGAACTCCACTAAATAGCAAAGATCTGGTCTTAATGCAATATATGTAAATTAGTAACAGATTTTTTTAAAAAATCATTAAGTTCAGAGTTTTAGATATCTGCAAAACTCCAAAAACATTCTGTTAAAAATATTTTTCTTTCTTATCTTCAGCTATTAACAATGCAAATCTTGTTTGAAATGTAATAATAACAAATGTACTGACACACAAACTTCCCTTGCAGCCTGCTCCCCAATCAACACAGTCAGACAGAGAGGACTGCAGCTAGTCAGACATGTCAAATAAACTGCCTCCTGCCTCTACCTCACTGCACAGACTCCAGCCCCCACCTACTCTC